CCCTCCAATAGTATACAAAATTGTAAACGTGTCAGAGTGGAAAGCCACACGGGTCTCCTGCACTGACTGCCTGCCCCTCATGTTTGGTGTGCCCACATACCTGAAATGATAGAATCAAGAACATAGAATCCCCACTGTGACGCTATATGCAGTGATGCTATATGTCACTTCGTTGCTCCTCAGGGAATCCAACTGCTGCTCCAGCTGATCCATGTGTTTTGATAGAAACTGCAAGTGGACACTTCCTGCAGATCTACTTGTCAGGGCCTCTTGAACTCTCCCTGCCCACATCTCACAGGAGGATCCCCCACGGAAAAGAACTTGCCATTTCTAGCCCTCTAGAGACTACAGGATTTAAAAAAGTAAATAAACAAATTTTCTCCAGTTACTTTACTTACAATTTTTACTTGCCAACCAAGAGGCTTACGAATTATATTATCCTCCAAACAGCTGTCCAAGTACTCTGCCTTGCACTACAGTCAAATTCCCATTACTCAAAGTGTAAAGCTATGAAAGAATTTTTAAAAATTGAATGTAGTGGGAAAAGAAAGGTCACCTGATTGGTGAGTATTAATCAGGGAGGGTTATAAGGGCTGGACGGGGTAGAGATGGGGAGGGTTGGAGAGCTGGAGGAGGTTACAGAGATAAGGAGAAGAATTTGAAAATCAATGCTTTGCTAAATTGTGAGCTAACATAGAGCAGCATGTACAGGAATGATGAATGAATGGTCAAGGTCTGGTCAGCAGAGGTTTGAATCAATTGAATTATAGAGAATGTTAAAAACATTACAGACTGTGAAGGAGTGAAAATGGCAGTAAGAGCGCGTGAGAGGAGAATCTTAGCCAAGAGTAGTGATTTAAATCATGCAGGAGCTCTGAGGTTTTCAATTATGAGAACTGATGAGTCTTTGCATACAGGAACAGCACAATGGAATAAGGGAATATTTATTCCTTTATTCCATGAGGAATACCAGAAAAATCAGAGCCAGCGTACACAGTATAAATATTGCAGAGGACATTGCAACAAAGAAATGAAAGCCTATCTAGCATGGAGAAAGCCCTAACTACAGGAACCTGGATTAATTGCACACACGTATTCTGTTGGAAAAAGGCAAAGTAAATCTGCAAAGATGTGGGACAATGATTCTGACAGATTATTCTACACCATAGAACAAGTTGGCACTGTCCAATCAAAAGGTGAGAAATGGTCTGTGGCTGCTGGAATAATGATGGTGGGGGGAGAACATCATCAAGGGAGTGTGAAAAGTGAGATTGATGTCAATGTTGTGTGTACTATCATGAGCTTCACGGATCTGTGAAAAGTGGCTCAAGCTGGTGACTCTAAGCTTAAGCTATTGAAAGTAAATTCGTCATGGAATGATACGGATTCTCAGACGAATGAAGCTGACAGCCTACTGCAATGGGAAGGAGGAGGATCTGCAGTTCCATGTTGTAGATATTAAGCAAATCTCTTACCTTGAAGCAAGTCTAAAGCTTGGAATGTAACCCTACATGTACTGGAAGAGACTTGCAGCAATTTTCAGAGCACAAGGCCATTAATGGCCAAACAGACTTTTAAAAAGTAGAAAGATCTTTTAATGGAGGTGGCAAGAACTGCAGATGCTGAAGTCAGAGACAGCACAGTATGGAGCTGGAGGAACACAGCAGGCCAGGCAGCATC